ATGAACCCCTATATCTGGTGTGGTTCTCTCCCCTCAAACAAGTACTTCGGGCGAGTTTTCATTAGCATGTACTTTAAGCAAGTTTTTCGGATCTAGTATGTAGGATGAGTTTGTGAAGGAAACCACATAGGAATGAGAGGCAAGTCCCTCTAGTGGAAGTGGCTTGAGCCATGGATGAGTTCAATTAGTGACATTGTGCCTATTAGGTTTATTATCACAATCTAACTCAGAGCTTCAAATTAATGAGGCAGGAATTGATGTTCGAACAATTATTTAAATTTTGTCAACTAAAATTTTTAAAAGTAACTATCTCCAATATACTGAAAGAGTCACTATCACTATATTTCAATGTATTTTAAATCAAAACACTATAACTGATTCAAACAAATATATTTCTCTTGAAGTTTCACGCCTACAATAGGCGTTTCCTCCTCTTTCACTTATTTAAACTATTTGGATAACACCTATGTACTTTTGTAAATATGGAGTAAGTTATAATACAACTTAGTTCCTATGTCTTCTTCTAAATTACAATAGTACAAGACACTTTGAATGATATGCACGCTCACCACAATACATAAAGTAAATCTATTTGAAATTAATTTATTTTGAAAATGATCATCAATGTTATGTATATTTATACATGACACATATCATATGTTTATCATTCTCAAAAAATATTTGTCCTTCTCCATTTTTTTCATAACCTTTTTCATTTTACTCACTTGGGTACATTGCTTCCCCAACCAGTATCATAAGGGAGTGTACTCTATTAATCAATTATGCGCATGCAAGCAATTATACATAATAACTTTATTGGCATGATCTCTATCATTTCATATTTTTTCATAATAAACAATATATTACTTGTGCTAATTTATATAAGTTTATATCATCAAGCTCAATATGATCAATTGCATTTAATAGAGATAATACATAAGTAATTTACAATGCTGATAAGCAATTAAATGCATTTAAAAGATGCAATATTATTATTTATATATAACAATTTCATATCATGCAATTATATTCATGCAGGATTATTTAGGAGCTGCCATGAGAAATGCATGATATTTATGTAATAGTTTTATTATAATTATTTCATATTATAAAATGGCATTTAAATTTATTTTTGTCCAAAGATAAAAGTGCATTGTCATGTATTTTTATTTAAATGTCTGTCTATTTCGATCATTTTTTTTGCATTTTTGACAATAAAATATATTAAAAAGCTTATGATATATATAGTTATTTTTTCATATTTTTTCCTTTGGCAACAAAGGAAATGTGGGGTCCAAATTTATTCATGAATGATAATTGATCTTACTAATAGGTCATCGGTGTGTTAGAGTTATAGAACAAAAGTGAGGGAAGCTAGTGATTATGGTGAGTTAGTATAACGCTCTAATATCTCTATTATAAGTTGTCCTCACGGCATGAATTCTAAAATATGCCTCTTCTCCTCTTATATATAGGGCTAAATGGGCTACATGAGAGGCTACTACTATAATAAAAAGAAAATAAATAGAACATAATGTGACTAAATAAATTGACACCGACATGTGGATTAGCTGGATGATATAAACATGAACCCCTATATCTTGTGTGGTTCCCTCCCCTCAAGAAAGTACTTGGGGCGAGTTTTTAGGAGTGTGTACTTTATGCGAGTCTTCGGGACCTAGTATATAGGTTGAGTTTGTGAAGGAAACTCCTTAGGAATTAGAGGTGAGTCCCTCTAGTGGAAGTGGCTTGTGCCATGGATTAGTTTAGTCAATGGCATTGTGTTTATCGAGATTATTGTCACAATCTCACTCAGAGCTTCAAATTAATGAGGCTGGAATTAACGGTCGAACGATTATTTAAATTTTTGTGTACTAAAATTTTTAAAACTAACTATCTTCAATACACTGAACGACACTATTACTAAATTTCAATGTATTTTATAGCAAAACACTAACTGTTTTCAACAAATATCTTCCTCTCAAAGTGTCATGCCTACAATACACGTTCTCTCCTTTTTAACTCTTTTAAACTATTTTGATAATAAGAGTGTAATTTTGTAAATATGGAGTGAGTTACAATACAATTTAGTTTGTATGTCTTCTTCTAAATTACAATAATACAAGTCATTTTAAATGATATGCATGCTCACCACAAAACATAAAGTAAATCTATCTGAATTTAATTTATTTTTAAAATGATCAGTGTATATCTATACACGACACACATATCATATATTTATCATTCTTGTAAAAAATACAAAAGTCATAAGAGATATCATCTAAAAGAATTAAAAAAAATATATACATCATTCTCCATTTTCTTTATTCATTTCACTCGCGTGGGTATATTACTTCCCAGTCAGTATCATAAGAGAATATACTATATAAATCAATTATGCACGTGCACGAATTTATACTTAATAACTTTATTGGCATTATTTCTATCATTTCATATTATTTCATAATGAATTATTTATGACTTGTGCTAAATTATATAAGTTTATGTCATCAAGCTCAATATGATCAATTACATTTAATAGAGATAATACATAAGCAATTTATAATAATGATAAGCAATTAAATGCATTTAAAAGAAGCAAGACTAGTATTTCTATATAATCAATTCATATCATGCAAGATAAATTATCATGTTGAATACCAAACTTAAATATGACCATTCATTGAAAAAAAAAAGATAAATAATATGGATTTTTTTTGCAATAATCATTAGTTTAGAAGTGTCAAGCAATCAGATTGGAGATAACAACATTATTACTATAATAATAGGATCACGAGTAATCACTTTGATTTAAATAGCTTTTGCCCCCTTTTGATCATTACTCCGACACCACTATTTAAGCACCTATAGTTTATAATTTTGTAAGATTTCCTTCACTTCTTCATCTTTTTTTTTTTTTCATTTCAAAGTATAATTCATGCTTTAAATTTATTTTTCATGTATCCTTTTGTGTGGTAATTAAAGCAAACAACCATTTTTGTGCTCTTTGAAGTAGATTCATTAGTTTTCTTCATAAGTGGGACACTGGAAGTTGAAAGGCCACATTTTTCAGTAAACCTTTGGATTTAAAATGGGAAAGTTAGGTATGTGGATGATTGACCTTTGGTTTTAAATTCATATGACGATTTCTTATACTTTTCAAGGAGTAAGGAATTAAGCAACATTCTTATAGGCACGACTATCATATAATTGCAAAAAATAAAGTGCGAAAAATAATCAGAATGAACACACCAGAATTTATAGTGGTTCAGTCAACCTAACCTACGTCCACTCCTTAGAGACTCTCTCTTGCACTAAATAATAGTGACTCTCTTTTTGCTCTCACGACAAGGGGGTGAAGCCTGTATAGATGATGTTTCACCACGCTGGTGCTATAGAGAATCGTGACTCTTTTACAGGCAGAGAACCTCAAATCTATTCTCACTCTCTAGGTGATGCTCAAAGAACTGCAACTCTATTTTCACCCTCCAGAAAATGGTCAGAAAATTACAACTCTATTTTCACCCTTTAGGTTATGGTAAAAAAACTACAATCTTTGTTGAAGAGCTTCTTCTTCGGAGCCACAGAAATTCCAGGCAGATGCTTGTAGATATTAGGCAAGATTCTTATTTGGAGCAACCTTGTGAATCCCCTCACAAGTTCTCCCTCATAAAATCTCCCTATCTTCTCTCACAAAGCTCTCCTTCTTCTCTCCCTCAAGACTCTCTCGATCTCCTAAATTTTCAACTACCAAAGATTTTTTAATTAGAAAATCTTAAGTAGTGAGCTTCAAGAAATCCTAATTTTCAAGTGTTCCATCTTCCATTCGTACAGTACTATACGTATATCGTATTGTATGAATATTTTAATTCAGACTCATCCAGTGAGGTCGTGCAGATGAAATGTTCAACCTTTATAACATTTTGTTCAGTATGATCAAAATATCGTACTGTACAAACCGTAGAAATTTTTTTTGTTCATTTGGGATGACCCTTGGGACGACCAACTTTGTACATTATCGATTGTCAAGCACTGTGGGCATTGTACAATATGATAAGTACAAAAATCAAGGATTTCATTCGATACGATCTCTAAGATGATCAATTTTGTACACATTCAATTGTATTGTACCAGCTATATCGTACAGTACGATCGATTACAATGATTAGATTGCTTGATATCTAGAGATTAATTAAGAAAGATTTTAATTATGGAATATACTACGAACCAAATTGTACTATACAATCATCACATAACTAGTATTTTTCTTAACCTCTGACGGCTAGGGTTTTGACAAACACACTCATTTTTCACTCATCTAATTATATCTTTTAAGTTTCCATAATAATATTAAAAAATTTAGTAAGCCCAAAAACTCGTTGATTTCTTAAGCATTTCCACACTTTTATTTGAATATTATCATGTCCTCTTGCTTTTCAACACTTCATTTTTTTTGAAGTCTCTCCAACTTTAATTTTATTAATACGATGTTAAAAATATAAATTTCTAGTTTCATTTAGAGTGTTAAGGTCATTAAAGTCAATCATATTCTCATAACCTTCATTAAAAAGTTTATTAAAATATCTCATTCACCTATGTTGCGCATCATCTTTTATGAAAATCACTTTTTGATCTCTAGCTAGATGTTATCTCAATATCATGGATTGCGTAGAAATTTCTTAATAAGATTATTATAAAAATCTCTAGATGTTCATTTAACAAGTTAGATCGATGGTAGAAACTACTTGAAAGTTATCTTAAATAGAATCTTGAACCCTCCATACAACAACAACAACAACATCAAGCCTTTATCCCACTACGTGGGGCATAAATAAATAACATTTTGCTTTAACATTTTTTACAAACAAAATTAAGAGAAATTATTCAATTTCAATTTGAGAGTTTCTTCCTCTATCATCCACAAAAAGTTTTGTATTAGTATAATCATATAACAATGTATGAACTCTCTTCCATTATTCTTTTGCATTAGTAAGGATGTATAATCATAGTAAGCTTGCAAATTTTTTGCATTGATATATATATCAATCCTTCAAATCAATTATCATTTAGTACAATGAGCATGAACTACACCAAGCTAACAACAAGTTTAATCACTTCTAAACAAATAAAACATTAATTTCTACAACACTAATAATATAATTAAAAATGAGTACTAATTGCCTTTAAATGAATGAGAATAATGTCCTTTTAGCATTGGCCTTATTGAGATTATCAACAACCCATTCATCTTAGTAACTCTGGATTTGTTGGCTGTTCTCACTGTCAAATATTCGGTTAAGTATCAAAGCAAGCCTCAAACCTGCTTGTGCTATTCTCTTTTTAACTGTTGGAAGTCGGGTGAAGAAATAGTCATCTGTGAACCAAAACATAATGTTAAAACCAAACTAACAAGCTAGCTTTACCTTCTATTGTCCTTTATGTGGATTTTTCTATAGTTTACCTTCTAATGTTGAATTTTGTTCAGCATCCTTATAAGCGTAATCACAAGCCAGCTTTATACTTTCTTCTGCATAGCTGAAAAAAGGGAAAAATTGCAATGGGATTCAATTAAGTGAAAAACTAATGGTGAATGCAATGTGATGCAATAAGCCATGGATGTTCTAATCTTACTCATTTGCGCAAGTAGCTCTTTTATTCTGGCAGTTCTGCCAATTATCAACGTCTTCTGCCCATCCACCCTACAGTAGAATTCCACAGAAATTTAAGTTTATGGAGCTTAAACAAATAAATGGCTTACTGAAATTAAGTTCAGAGGAACTAATAAATCAAACTTACTGTTATGTTTAATTTAATGCCCTCAACCATGGTATCAAGATCATTGTCATAATAGTCGCGCATTGCTGTTTCTATTATGCTGGAATCCCATACCTTAGCCAAAATTTTGATAAAAGTTTTAACACAGAACATTTACAAGGAAATCAAAATATAATTATATGAAGAAATATTTAACATACATGATGGAGGTTCGTCTTCCTTCTGTACCAGTGGACTATAATGGTGTTTCCACCTTCATCATCTTGAAATCCCACATGAAGAGGTTGGTGGATGTCCCCAACGAAATGCGCGAGGAACATTAGGCTTTCAGTTAAATTATCTGATTTGTATTATATGAGAAGGTTGAGATCATTTAGAAAAAGAAAGTATTGTAAGTAAATCAAGATTGAAGATTGAATGCTAGACTTAGTGATTTTACATTGATTTGATGGATTTCCATAACCGTAGAGCTGGTTTGTGTAATTATTGATAGCTCCAGCCACACACATTCCTGCTTCTCCATGGGAATTATGGCAATCCCCTGCATCAGTAATTTATTTTAGAATCGTTCTACCAATACAGTTAAATTATTAGGCTCATTGACATTTAACTTAATAAAATATCTTTTAATTCATGAGTAATAATAAATTCTTCATATGAATCCACTCCAAAAGTAAGTTGAAAGAAAAACATAATGTTTAAAGCTAATTAATATGGATATACAATACATTATTTTTTTAGAATCATCAATAAATGTCATAAGACAAAAGAGCATCTTATTTAAATAAAAATTTATTTGAGAAGTGTTAATGGCAACAACATTTGACTCATAGTTTATCATAAGGTGTGGTTTGAATTCATTTATCTTGCAAGTACTTGAATTCATTTTATTTGCTTTTCTATTAATAAATATATCTAAATTAATCACTCTTATGGTGACGGATTATAATGCCCGAGTGATATATAAATAGTTGGTGGTGTGACAAAAAAATTATTAAATAATTTGAAAGCTATAATCTATTTAAAAGGACTAAGTAATCTCCTTTTGAGTAGTATTTTAATGCTCCTTACCCACAATTCTTTGAGACTTTTAACTTATTAGCTTCTCCTAAGGAAGGTTAATGATCTAGAGAATGATTGCTACTTCATTGTATTGAACATTGGAGGTATGAATATAGGATTTGATATATTTGAATTCGGTCGACAAATTGAATTATTTCAACATGTATATATAGGATGGACTTGATTATAATCTTGTACTAAATTCTTTTTTATATTAGTTAACGCACAAATAGGAGATTGATTTTGAATTGAAAAAGAAATCTCATAGAATCAAAATATAATATCATATTTTAAAACTTCTTTGTTTGAGGAATTGAAGTCGTCGTTTGTGATCCACTAAAAGGATAAATCATCTCCAATATCAAGTAAAATTGATTCTTATCAATCTATGTAATTGTATATAGAACATCTATGAGATCATCAAGAGTAATACTTCTTAGAGCTATCAATCCTTTAATTCATTACTAATAAATGTTCAATCAACTTTATAGACATCATTTCATTCTCCATCATACAACACAATAATACTTATGCTTGATTCACATATAGAAAAAAATGCTCTATATATAAATATAAGTAAGATTAATATTTATTTCGAACAAGCTTTTAACTAAGTTCACAAAAGGTCAAACCTTCATTACAGTGCGCAAATTTTATTTGAACTAGTATTAAAATAGATTACAACTATATTCAAATCAATTTTGATCAATGATAAAAAAGACTAAACTATTAGTCAAATTAGGTTTGAACCTTCTTTGAACCAAATTTAAGAATATTCAAATAAGTTTCAAATAAGCTTTGAACTAAATTTGAATAAGGTATGTACATATTTTAATTCTTTGTCAAACCTTATTTCAATATATTTTCAATTCTAATTTCCTATTTACATCAAAATGAACTCAATTTTTATAGATACGCACTTGTTAATAATTAAAAATTAGTCACAAGCTCATATGTTTAAATAATAAAAATAATCACCCGTAGATGTCAAAGTCCGATTCAACTATTTTATCAACACTTTATCACCACCATCATGATTTTCTTACCATGTTATAGAAAAATATCTCATAGTAAAATGATGGAAGAAATCTCTCAATGAGAGAATAAGGAAATAAAATAATGTTTACTGAGGAGCTAAAAATATTGTTTCTCCATTTTAAGTAGGGTATAATTTGATATTGATATATACTTGGTATACTTTAAGTGTATTTTAATCCATAGATAATTTTAAGGGGGATGTTAGTCAAAACAAGAACATTATAAGGGATAAAAATTCATATTTTCTTGCTAATTAGGAAAAAAGGAAGTGACGATAGTTGGCATATTATATTGTGATAATCTCACCAAAGGGAAATAATCTTATTCTTAACAAAATGTCAAAATGAAATATGAGTAGATTATACATGGAATAGGTTGGGCTACTTATTCGAGTCAATCTATAATTGAGTTTGGGCTATATTTTTTATCTAATACTTGAAGTTGACATAACCTTACCAACTAAATTTCATTTTGCAATCAAAATTAGATATAAATGCATTCATATGATCTTATCATTTATGATCAATTTTATGTGCATATCGATTGGATGGACAACCCTATAAAAATATGGGCTTGAAAAGATCATTACATTCTATTTATTAGGCCAAAAAACAAGTGAACCCACAAAAATAGTTTTCACTAAATATTTGTGTACGAACTATAGAATGTGCTCCTCTCATTAAAATCTTGAAAATGGTTGTTTCCTTAAACATATGAATGTGCTCCTCTCATTCATGCCTCTATGTTTTAAGATTTTCCTCCTCCCTCTTTTAATGATGGTTCCCTTACCTCCTTTCACACTATCTACTTCTTGTTACTAATCTCTTTTTCTCTCCTTCTCCTTTGAGCTCTGATTGAGAGCTTTATGTTGCACTCCTACTTATATTTGCTTGCTTTCCCTCATTATTAAACAACAAAAATCACTTAAATTAATCTCCCACCCCTTCTTCGTGGAATCTTCTCTTACTAATCCCTCTTTCTTTTCCTCCAACTACTTGTTCTTCTATTTGATCATAGGGAGCGAAGATGATTTCTCCTAACCAAAATATGTTGATTTTGTATTCCCTTAAACTTACATACAATAAAAAAATATTCTTAATTAGAAAGGTTTTCATAATCCCCACGTCATTACTCAAGTGATTTATCTATCCTTTTTTGAAAACCTTTAAGAGGAAGTTTGCTTCTCATTGGATGAGCTCTCTATATTTTGATATATCGATGGGTTACATGTATTCATAGGCATGGCTACACATGTTTTTGAAATTGTATTATAAAATATTGCTAAATCTTTCTGAACACTCCAACAATATTCTCAACACATGGGTGTCCTCTTTTGTTAAGAATAGATTTATTTTTAAGATTTTTTTTTAACATTTTGAAAATATTTTAAGATCTTATCTTGAATTTCTATGCTGTTATGTTTAGGGGACTCAAGTACAATACCGAGCTCAAACTCTAGCTCAAACTCGAGTCGAGCTAGAAAGCTGACTCGTGACACTGAAATGGGCTTGTCGAGCTGCTCGACAAGCCCACCGTGAGAACTCACGAGCCTCCAACGTCTTCCGCAATGACCATGTCCGCGGTCCCATTATTTTTCACACGCAGTCTGTGACGGACCGTCCATCCCATCCTTCCCGCGCTCATCCCAAGGGCACGCAGCAAGAGGCACGCGCAGACGCGACCGCCTCGAGCCATGCGAGTGCCTCGAGCACTGTGACACCATCCGCCTCGAATTCGAGAAGGAATACAATATGTGTACACTCGCAGTTCGAACAGTTCTCATCCTGAATTCTCAAAGAATAATTTCTCCTAAATCAAATAAATTCAAGAAAATCTTCTCAAAACATACCAATCTGAAAATAATTAAGGTTTTTAATTTGCCAAAGTTATTTGATTTTCTATGGATGCATGAGGATGATCTATCATTGATGTATCTGCAAATCAAAGAAGGATGTCCTCATAACTTTAATAAACATATTGAAATCACTTATTCCACAATCTCCTCCCCCTTTAAACATTAAAATTGAATATATTTGACATTCCCCTAACTTGTTTATAAACTATTAAGAGATTATTACATATTCGAAGCTATATGCTTACTAATCTTTCATTCAATATTCTTTTAAAAAATAACCAAACGGATATAATATTGTTCACAAATGTCAAAAATACATTTTTTTATTATAAATAATAGAGTGGTTGGATCTTATCTAAGCAGAGCCGTAGACGCAACATGAATGCTTTTGCCCTCTGATAGCACAGTTCAACAAAGTACAAAGGAGAAGTAAAGCAGCTGTGCTTTTTTTTGTTGGGACATAATTTTAAATAAACTCATACATACATCATTTATACGTAAGCTTAAAATTCAAAATCACTTGAGTTTCATTTTGGATAATTAACTTTTTTTATTGTTTTCTTTTTTATATACAAATTTCTAATTTAAGAAGTTTTTATATTAAAAAAATGTTTTAGAAAGCATAAAAAAGCTGCCCCAAATGAAGCATTGGTTGGTAGACAAAGCCGCCAACCAGCAGATCAAGATGAGCTGCATAATACAGTTGCGCTTGTGTGCTTCCTATCAAATTATTCTTTATTTAATTTTTTTTTAAAAAAGTTGACTTTAGGTGAATTAATTAATTAGGAAAAATTTTAATTTTTGTCCAAAAAAGGAAAAATTAAATCTAAAATTCCAATGTAAGAGGAAAGCTCTATTTGGAATGGGCTTATCTTGAAATTAAATATATTTTATTTTTTAACGAAATAAAAAATATTTTTATTCAAATCAAAATATATAAATGGGATCAGTTCATAGTCATCTAATTAATTTAATATATAATGTAATTTATTTATTGTGTACTTTTGTAAGTATAGTACTCTAATCTTAATAAATAAATAAAAAAGTTTAAACTATTTATTTTCTTATTATTCTAAGATTTTAAGAAATTTTAAATATTTAAGAGACAAAAAAATAGAATGTATATTAAATTAAAGTTTAACAAAGATGGAGTTCAATTTTAAAACGAGATTATCATTTTTTAGTTCTTTAATATATTTAATATAATTTAAAATAATATTTTTTATTATTTATTTCTTTTTCATATCTTATACTTGGAATAATTTAAAAAGGACTTCTAATTAAAAAAATTTTAGTATAACAAATATTTGAAAAAATAAATTAAATAATTATGGCATTATTTTAAATTTATTTAATAATCTAAAATTAAAACGTGTCGCAGTTCTTAAACGTTGAGTCTTTGGAAATTTGATAAATATTAATTATTAATCAATCATTAAAAAAGTAGGATTAAAACAATAGCTTAAGCATTTTTTAATAAATTTTTGAGAAATATTTATGGAACTTAAGACTTTTTTAAAAAAATTGTCAAAATGTTAAAATTAACGGTTATTTATGAAAAAGTATGATTCTGCGATAGAAAAATTTATCAAAATTTTAATTTGAGCTATAGCTTTAATGGAAAACAATTAACAAAAAATAAAAAAATTAAATAGAAATTTGAAATATACTTTTTAATACTTTGAAATATGTAAAAAATAATAAAAAAAGTAAGATATTTATAAATAATCAGTAAAATAAATTTATAAAAAAAATTTACATGTCAAAATTTTAAGCTTAGTCTCACAAAAATTTATAAGAGTATTCTGAAAAAAGAAAAAAAATTGGGAAAAGAAAAGAGACAAAGAGACATACTTGAATACTTGTAGTTGCAGACTCCTGGAGTGTTGATATAGTGAAGGGGACTAGACCATCGATACCGGAAACGAACCGTGTCAGCCCACGGGCAAATCGTCGAAAGTTCACCGCCGGCCGTCTCCGGCAAGAGATCCACAACCGCCTTCAACGTCTTCTCCGTCAAGTAGGGCTATATTCACCAACACATCCATTTTTCAAATTCACAGTGAGATCGGTGTAAAATAATTTACATAAGGCTGAAAGGAAATAGGAAACAGAGATCAAAGTGATGGGGGAGGCCAATTGATTCTGTTACCTCTGCTATTTTGCAGGCCATGATATGCCCCTCCTTGCCCCATGCATCTCCGAATGGGGCTTTAGCAATTAGAACTGAGAGGAGGAAGAAGACAGGAAGACGCAATGAGAGAAACTCCATGAATTGGCTTTCTGCTCCCTTGCTCCCCCAATTTCTTGGGTTCCTTTTCGTTCTCTCTTCTCTATTCCTCTTTTATGTGATATAAAAACCCATTTAATTATTAAGGGTAAGCCCGTCTTTCAGCTCAAAAAAATATGGTCCAGTTATTGCCTTCTCGCTACAGCTAATACTTAATAATGATGTGCTAATAATTATGTCCCATAATCGCTCAAACTTTGACTTGATATGCCTCGTTTAAAATTACTTTTATTTTATAATTTAACAATGACCGAGATTGGAAAGATCGTAGTCGGACGATGGAGGTCGAAAGGACGATAGTCAGCGGGCGATGGAGTTCTGAAAGACCGTTTTATAGCGATGAAAGCCGGAAGTACCGTAGTCAGTGGGCGACTGAGGTCAGAAAGATCGTTGTCTGACGACGGGGTTCGGAAGGACGGTAGTCGGCGGGTGATAGTGGTTAGAAAGACCATTGTCTGCGACAGAGGTCGGGAGGACCATAGTCGGCGAGCAACAAAGATCGAAAAGACTGTTGTCGGTTGGAAGTTCAACAAGAATTGGAAGCCGGGTGGAAGTTCGACGTTAGTTGGTGTGGCCAAACAAAAGTTGGTTTGGCGGAAGTTCGACATCAGTCGGTGGATGCGTGGAAGTCTGATATATGTCCGTGGGTGGGAGGAAGTTCGGCGTCAGTCGGTGGCCTGACAAAAGTCTGACGACAGTCGGTGGCCAAGCGAAAGTCTAGCGGTGGTCGAGGAGTCAGGTGGCAAGAAAACTCTAGTTTCTAGCTCTTCTTTCTTCTCTTCTTTCTTTTCCTTGCTTCCTAGCTTGGGTCCCCCTTCTTTAGGAATGAGGGCACTATTTATAATTTTCTAAGAGTGGCATAGCTAATAAATATGAGGGAGATGAAGGGTAAGTTGGGAGTGGATTGAATGGACGGCCGATGTTGATTCCCTTAATTATGGACTATTTATTAGACATTTGAACGCCTAAGTGATGTTAAATTTGAAGATCTTGGGCTCGTTGGATTCGTCTAATAAAGCCACTCGATTCTATTATATGCATGTCACGTTTGGAAGTCGTTTGGTTATCCAATTTATGGTTAGAACTTTCTAAATGCTCTTTGGGACTTTGATTTGGACCCATTTGGGCTCGGATTGTGTCAAATTTAAGGTCGTTGGGTTTGTCTTTTTGAGACGTTTAGTTCAACTATATGTTTGCTAAATTTGGAGTTCATTTAGTCCTAAGTTTAATTTTAAAAGTTTAAAACTTGATTTTGCCTTGTGATTCGTGTCGATGAAGATAACTTTTTCATGATTTTATATTAATTGCCACCCTATTTTTTTATGTCGAAGCCTGTAGAATATGAAAATATACGTCATAGAACTTTAAATTGTTTGAATCACACACAAAATTATAATTTTAGGGAAATTATGAGGCATGATCACTCCCTATACATCAACTTGGACCTCCCATCAGGACCGTGAACCAAATAAAATACCTTTAATTTTTTATTGAGCATGTTATGAAATTAGTGCGTTGATTGAAGTAAAATTTGTTGAAAAATTACACTCCAAAATATTTGAAATTACTCAAAATTGATTATAGAAGCTCCGTTGAGCTCTGAAAGTGCCAAAATTAAATCTGAAATGTTGAAAAACAGTTTCGGGGATTCCAAAAATGTCTTATTGTTTGATGTCGAAGGCTCGCACCATTTTTTTTTTCGAGAGAAATTTTTTGGATAGAATTTTTTCTCTTCTTTTTTTTAGAGAGAATTTTTTTTTCTTTTCCTTTTACTTTCTTTCTTTTTTTTTAAAGAATGTTCTTAGGAATATTCTCAAAATATTCTTATTCTAGGGATATTCTTGAAATCTTTTTGGAATTTTCTTATTCCAATAGAATATTCCTCTCTTTTTTCACCTATAAATAACCCATGAGGCAATGGAAAAATTATTCCTTTTTTTTCTCCCTTTTTCCTCAAACTTTTTTACTGTTGAGGCATTCCACTATTTTGAATATGTGGCATCCCCTATCAAGTACAGGTGCCCCTTCTTTGTGTAAAAGTTAGAGTTTTCAACTATTCTCTGCAATTCTTTCCCATTCTTCTTCTTACTTTAGAGTCTTTCTATTATTTTTTTATTAGTGGCATCTCCTATTTGGTGGAAAAGGAACTTTCTCCTTCTTCATTTTCTTCTTCTCTGATTTTCTTCTAAAAATATTAGAGGCATTCAACTATCTAAGATAGGTGTCATCTCCTATCAAGCTTCAATGCCACTATATTATAAAGAAGGAGTCACAATGAGATTCTATTCTCTCAATAAATAACACTTACATAAGAAGTTCAAGAACTTTATATGTGAGGGTGATTTGAGAAGATTTGGTTGTAATTGTACTTGGGAGGAGAACCAGCGAGTGTCAGTAGAATGCAAGATTTTTTATGATGTTTTAGCGAAAGGTCAACAATGATCGACGATTGGTTTGAAGCTTGATGTGGAACGATGGTCTGTTGGAGACTTGAAATAGATAGTTAGAGGCTGTAATGCAAATAATAGTCGAGTGAGAAGCCAATGATGTCTAATATGAGGCGAAGGACTGATGGCAGACATTAGGAGAAAGGTTGATGATGACGAGTGTCAAGTTACATTCTACTAAAAGCAGAAAGCATTCATCCTGATGTGTGAGGACATAAGACATCCTTGATAGAAGGGGTTGAAGCAACGTACACTATCAGTAGTCTAATGACACACTGACTGTGTCAATTGAGTGGAAGTTTGAAGATGACAATATTATACCTTTCTTTGAAGAAGAAGTTGAAGGAGATACTTTTACGGATGTTATTGGTATAACTTTAATTGTAGTTTCTTACAAAAATGAATGTTTACTAGAACCTGATGTGGAATCTATATAATTCTGATGATATTATATATAAAGTTGAGATTATTGTATGAGCTTGATGCTTGTTTTTTATTTTAAATAAACATATCCCTAACCGGAAATTATGATGTTTATGCAAATTTGAGATATGATTTGATATATTTCTCCTAGTACTTTTTGAAACTTTTTTAGTCTACTAAGGTCCTTATATGTCTTATTAATTTATCAAACACTTGCTTTCATAATTTTTTTCTAAAGAGAATGTTATCCACTCAAAGCTTTGCTCAATGACATTAATAGGCTAAGAGTATTACAAAATAGATATTTGACCTATATGAGGTTGTTTGTCAGAGTATTGCTCGATGATATTAACCTGTATGGAAGAGGTCGAGCGAATTCACCTAATGTGTATGACCTATTCAAGGTTGTTTATCAGAGCATTGCTTGATGACATTAACCTGCATGTAAGAGGTTAAGAAAATCCACCAATGATGTATGACCTATCCAATGTTATTTGTCAGAGCATTTCTCGATGATAATAATCTGTATGAAAAAGATCAAGAGAATCCACCAAAGATATTTAGCTTATCCAAGGTTATTTGTCTGAGTGATACTCGATGACATTTAACCTTTATGGAGAGGTTGAGAGAATCCACCAATGATGTATAACCTATCCGAGATTATATTTTAGAGCATTGCTCAAAGAATTTAAAATATAAGGAAGAATTTGAATGGAATCCCAGTGGGATTGATCATACAATTATTGAGACATAATAAGTATTATGTGAAAGTTCGTTAGGGATGTTAAGCCCTTATGAACTAGCTCAAGGCTAACCAAGAGGGGGGTGAATTAGTATTTTAAAAAATCTTTCATGATTAAAACAAAACTTAAACCAAAGTTTACCACAATGAAAATCAAAGTGCGAAAATTAAATGCGAAAAGAATAGTAGTAAAGAATATAGAGATTTATAGTGGTTCTATCAACTTGACCTACGTTCACTCCCAGAGGCACCCTCTGAGTATTGCACTAAACTCAGTGACTCTCCTTTTGCTCCCACTACAAGGCGGAGAATCCTATACAAAACCTTCTTTCCACCAACACCGATGAGGCAGAGAATCCGACTCCTTTTGCTTCTTCCTGAAGCAGGCAGAGAACCTTAATCGATTTTTGAAGTAGGCCTCCCTCGAACCCCTGAGGACAAAAGAAGATGATTGGAGAAGATGAATTGGATCCTTTCTTGGAGCAACCTTTGTGAAATCCCTCACAAACTCACCCTCACAACTTCCTCTCTCTCTCTCTCTCACCCTCTCTATCTCCTCTAGGCTCTCTCAGGACAAGATAGTAACAAAAGATGCTTTCTTGGATAGATCAAGTGGTCTTAAATAGAAGAGCTTTGAAATAGCTCTTTATTTAAACAAATCGACTTTATCTTCCAAGATGACATGGATATCATCTTGGACGATCAGTATAAATTTAGCTCAATCAGTCTGAACGATTTGGGACAATTATAAGATTTTTGTTCATATCGTCCAGGACAATATGATATCATCCTGTATAATTAGTACAAATCCTTGAATATCGTCCAAGCAACCGCACTGAATGGATGTCTGGACGATAAAAAATAACTTGATCGTCCAGGCCGATCATCCAGGTGAAAGTAATTAGAAAGGGTGGTGAACTGCTCTCCAAACCAGGCTATGTCCTGGTCGTGTTGGCACTACTGGTGTGCCACGTAGGAGTCAAAGCGAGCTAAGTCCTCAGCATGTTACTGCTCCTATACAACAACGTAGTTCTTGAACCGTGCCTCCCACTAGTCAAATCGCTCCACCAGCTGATCCAGCTGAGAGTGCTGGCAAAAAAGAACAAGTGCTGTAACAGGTGTAGGAGCCTCCTCCTCCTATGCATCCTGAGCTTCCCCATCCCCCGAGTGGAGACGAGTATTGTGAAGAACGTGAAAGGAATTGTTTGAGTAGAAGGCAGGCTGATAGTTGGGTGGGGCAGGATATTGGAGGTTATATTTTAATTTTAGAACATATGCTATAATATGTCCTAGGGAAAGATTGGGCTTCCTCCTATGTCCTGGATCTCGAATAGTAGTTAAATGCTCGATGTAACGAAAGATCAGGTCAGTGACATTGAATTTGCGATGGGGCAAAATAGAAGGTGGTGATTGAGAGAAGTGGAGTAATATGAATGCGATC